AACTTCATCCAGTTGATTGTATTGTATTGTATTGTATTTTGTTTACCAATGAAGGTGAGCAATACCTCTTGGGTATGTCCCGTATATATAAGGTCGTAATTTACGTAATTAATATGGAAGATAGACCCAGAAACCCCTCCTTGAAGGAGCCCTATGTTCTTTTATGTGCACTTATACATAGACATATAAGTACACACCACAGCCTTTTGTATGAGTTGCGGACCACTCAGTCAAACAACCTGAAGTACTTCACGCAAACAAGCAAATTTAGTCTTGCCTGAAGAGGTACCTGCGCTACCGCTGAGCTACACGGTTGGCCATTTTGAAGATAAAAAACAACCAGAAGCCCCACTCCTAAACATTGGGTGCAGTCAGAACCTAATTAATCAGTCTTCACGATGATGACTTTAACAAGAGCTGAGCGAGAGGCAGAGTAGCTGCTATATATGGGACAGTTAAAGATGTGCTTCCCCATGTCACATCAATTATGCCAGATATGGAATGCCTCCCAGAATCGGTCCAAAATGCATATTTGATAGTGTAGCATGTCAGATTAGGCTCTGGTATTGAATGTGGACCGATTTGTTCTTTAAACAATGTTTATCAAGTGTGGATGTGGACAAAGCATTACGATAACTTTGAAACCAGGAACCATAAATCTGTACATACAGCCCGGGGGGTTCACTGTATATAAAACTCGACGGGGGTCCTAGGCTGAAGCCTCAAATATCAATATGTTCCCATACCAATCTGTCAAATTTCAATATGTTCCCATACCAACCAAAATAACGCTCAAAGGCAACACCAAATGTCCAAATATAGGACCAATGCCATACCAAATGCCCAATTATGGGACCAATGCCATACCAAATGTCAAAATGTAGGACCAATGCCATACCTTAATTCAAAGTAAATGAAATATAGGATCAATGTCATACAAATTTGCAACTACTGGACCAATGCCATACCACGAATGTTAGGTAACGTATCTACAACGACCATTCTCATACCAGAAGAGCAAAAGTCCGACCATTGCCATACCTCAGAAGTCAGAAATTTCCGGGCATTCCCATACCAAATCCTAAAATATGGGTCCATTGCCATACCAAACGTTGAAAAAGGTACCCCACATGCGCCGAGGATCCCCGTCGAGGTTTATATATAGTGAACCCCCCGGGACATACAGTATCTTGTGATCTTGATGTCAACCTTTTATTTGAGAGTTGCTATGAAGACTACCAAAGGGATGCACACAGTCATCAGACAACAGAGGTGTCTGCAAACAGAATCCACAACCTGAACCAAACAACCCCTCTTTCTCTGCAAACTCCAACCATACAATTAGGAGAACAGAATATCAGAAAACTGTAAAACGCATACTTGCATACTGCTATGGGGTCAAACCCGGTATTCATTAAACTATATCGGATCCTAATATGAGTTCAGAGAAAGAGATCTTGATAAGTTGGCATATGATTATGAAAGAGATGATATTGTCCAAATTTTACTATTAACCGAGTCAACAATTCAGCACACCTTCTTTGAAAGATTGCCCCTTTTGAATCTTGTAATGTTATTGTTAAAACTCATTTCTTGGACATTAGGTAGATTATTTGAAGGCACAGTTTTAAAAACATCAGATTTGTATCATATCCCGAAATATCAAGCAATACGCATTATGCAATATATAATCTAAATATTGAGTCTACTAGTGTATTTCATAATTTGACATGTCTATTTGAATTGTAATTTATCTAGAATATGATACAGTAACCATTTACAAAGAAAAAATTTCCATTCCAGGTACGAACCAACCCATACCTGCTGGTATATTAACAACACTACAATGCCCATTTTTGAGTGATTACATAATTCCAATGCTCCTTATGAAATATACTCACATAATAATTATATGTTATAATAGTAGAATTACACAAATATCATATCATAGTTACATAACTACACGGTACAAATTTTAAGAAGCTCTGCTGAAAAAAGTGAAGATGAGGAAATAGAAATTGTCACACCCACCTGTAATTATTACATAATTTATTATGCAATTAATTTACTTTGCAGATATTTCATTTTAGGTATCTATAGTTACAACAAGCAGGCATTAACTTTGAAAAACAGTTATTTCATGTACAGGAACAACATTCATATGATAGTGTTAGGTAAATAGTGCCGCACCCCTTTCTCAAATAATTATGTACTTTCAATGCCTACTTAAAAAGATATTCAAATTGCAGAAATGTGCATTAAGCTAATATTTCTGCATAAACATGCACACTTGGATATTCTATTCTTAATAGGAAAAGTTACAAAAATATTAAGCTCAGCTGAAAAAGTGAAAATGAGTAAAAAGTAGCAAAATTGCCACATCCACCTGAAATTGTTACATAATATATCATTTAATTGCTTTACATTGTGCTAATAAATCATTTCTAGCTATCTGTAGTTATTACTAGCATGCTTACACTTGAAGATATCAGTCTATTGAGGTGAAAATACAACCTTTATATGACAATATGTTAAGTAAAGTGCCACGCCCACTTCGAAATGATTACATAATTTCAATGTCATTTTATAAAAAACGCTCAACCTGCACAATTTTGCATCTTCCTAATATTTTATGTAGACACAATAAGGTATCCAAAAATGCAAAGAAAAAAACTTTCTACTACAAAACGACCCTTACTGTGTCTACCGCTAGACTACAACCAGATTTGAAAAACTAACCTGTCTAATCTGAACATTTTCATCAGAAATCAAATGTCTGGTCATTGTTATAGTTGTTATTTATCTTTACATATACAATGTAATCAAAGAACCAATATTGTCCTAATTAACTAATTTAGTCTCAGTGACATCCCTACTTGTGGAAAACAACAGGATGTTCTGGAAAGGTGTGAATACAGTAGTTAATTGGTTTATCCTATTAGAAAAGAACTGAATATTTTATGTTTGGATTAAGAGAAAGGTGTGAATCTAGGAGATAATTGGTTTATCCTTATTGGAAATTAACTGGATGTTTTTGATTTGGATTATGAACAGGTCTTAACTGTGTTATATCCCTTGGGTCTGTTATGATAGCTAAGATTCAATCATTAAATGTTTTAAAATCACAAAGACAACACAGACACATTTGCAGACGAGATTGTATCACGAGAAAGAGTAAAAATTCAACTTTGTAATATCCTATCACTAAAATGCCTCATAAAATTAAAAAGGCATACATCTGAGATTTTGAAGGATTATACATCATCCTGAATGAACACTTATGAAAAATTCTTGTTACTTGAAGAGGATATCTGCTCAAATATTGCTAACGCTAAAAGTGCCAAGAAACAAACAACAATGTCTATAACAGTGCTATATAACCATAATATGGGATAAGTCATTTGATTAGCATAAGATTTTGTACGAGACTATCATATACTTATACAGTGTATTACAAAGTTTTTGCCAAAATATAAGAGTTATTTTTACTAAAATAATGAAATTGTTCAAAATGTAAATAAAACATAGCATATACATGTAGGCTATAGGCCTATTGTATAAACTCATCAACAATATGTATTGTTTTCTGACTTAGTATAATGTGTGCAATATAGTGGACTGAACAGTGAAAATCTTGAAATTTGAACACCTGCCAATTTGAACACTTTTGGCTGGGCCCATGGGCGTTCGGATTAGACAGGTTTTACTGTATGCCAATTAAATGCATCATTTACGTGACTTAAAAATATGCCAATATTTTCAAAATATGCAAATATATTGATTTAATTTATTATTAAATGTGACTTTTAAAAATATGACAATACAATGTGATGCATCATTTACGTGATTTTTCAAAATATGCCAATATAATTTAATGTATCATTTATGTGACTTTTTAAAATACATCCATATAATTTAATGTATTATTTATGTGACTTTTTAAATACGCCCATATAATTTAATGTATTATTTTTGTGACTTTTCTTAATATGCCCATTAGTATTATTTATGTGACTTTTCTAAATATGCCCATTAGTATTATTTATGTGACTTTTCAAAATATGCCAATACAAATGTGATTTACATGACTTTTAAAAACATGCAAATATGATTTAATGTTTTATTTACCTGACTTTTCATAACATGTCAATATAAATTTAGCATTATTTACGTGACTTTTCAAAATATGCCCATATAATTTAATGCATCATTTACGTGACTTTTCAAAATATGCCAATATAATTTAATGTATTATTTATGTGACTTTTTAAAATACGCCCATATAACTTAATGTATTATTTATGTGACTTTTTAAATACGCCCATATAATTTAATGTATTTTTTCATGTGACTTTTCTAAATACACCCAAACATTTAATGCATCCTTTACGTGACTTTTCTAAATATGCCCATATAATTTAATGTATTATTTATGTGACTTTTCAAAAAAAACATACAGATTAGAGACCCATCGACTCCCCTGTTAAACAGCGTATATTTGAATCTTGTAACAATGTAACGACCATGGGAGTAGGTCACCCCCTAGTATGTATCCAACAGACTGACTAGAAGTCAGTCTGTTATGATGTACTACTTTCCTGTGGAAATTGCAGTGAAATTTTTTGCACAAAATTATCAATTGGAGGAAACATTTTTTCAATAAAATAAACATTACAAAATTCCAATTAAATAGTAAGGTACAATTAAATGCAATAAAAAGTAACACAGCATATTGTCTAGTGGAAATAAAGCTAGTTGAAGTAAAAATGTGCAAATTAATTTTACCCAATCGGCCATTTTGAATAGCACTTCCTATGTAAACAAATATTTGGAATTACCAAACTTTAACATAGGTGCCTTATAGTCTGAATATAATTCAGACTAAATAGGATATAGTCTAGGTCACCCCCTCTAATTATTCTCTATACAGAATATTAGAGGGTGTCACTACATAACTCCCCGTCGTTACACCCCTTCGATTGTGTTTTAACACAACATACCTTAGGACTGGGGGCACAGGGTTAACCATGTACCGATCTGTGGAGTTGTAAATTCTGACAAAATCCTGGAAATTCATATCGACTGTTGGTTGTGTGCGGTTCTCCTTCTTTTTGGTTTCGATACTCACTCTTTCTTCAGCAGGTATTTCGAGATCAAGGAAATATTTATCCGTCCATAATTTGAAGGCAGGAGATTCTTTAATCGCACCTTTGAATAAAACAGGTTTAGATTCAATTGCGTACTGTTCAAAAAATGTTTTGGGATCTAAAAACCCATCATTTGAAGGGAGTTCTTTTGAAGGTCTCCCAGCTCCAAATTTCTGAAAATGTCCAGGTTCCAACGTCAGATCCTCAACGCTAGAATGAACCATATTGATAAAGCATATGGTAAGATATGCGCAAAATTGAACTGTCCGTTTAAATTCCATGCTTGGCATCTATACAGTCACGTAAGCACACTGAGTGATAATAGAAGTACATGTACTTCCTCTATTCCCGAACTTCCCATTTCAAGTGAATCGAAAGTGAGATATAGTCTCGAATTTAATAAACAAAGATTAATGGTTTTCATTATAGCATCTTAGGGACTTTTTTCAAGAAATTACCTCGACAATTACATATGTAACAATTGCAATTTCAAATTAATTTTTTTTACATTATTTGAATTATGCGATATTGTTTTTCATGTTGACACTTTAGGTTTGAGACTATAATTCGGTGCCCGTGACGTCAAATTGTTGCACCCAATATTCCATGTGTCAAGCGCGGCCATCTTTCCTTTTTCTAGATTCGGAATCAGGGCTACGGCCAACATTTTGTAAATTACTCAAGCTCTTCTAGTCTTTAAGGTAAGCCATGTCGTTATTTTATAGATACATATTGCATTGATGTTAATATTAAAGAATTCCTTCGAAAAGATCTCTAGTTATAACGTAATTTTTGAGCAAGTCTCGTTTTCTTTGTTGCATTTTTCCAGAAAACAAAGCCGGCGTGATTCATCAGACAGAAGTTACATATTTTCGTTAATTTCTCTCTTTGTATTTTGTCGCAGTTTATTATGATTATCAATTATTTGAATCAACTACGAACTCTTCAAATTGTTTTCTATTTGATGTGCCTCTGGATTATACCTTTTTCTTGCCATAAGTTTGTTTTCTGCATGAGAAAGTCTTAGTCCAACAACATTAGACCTAGCCCGGGCCTCGTTTCTTATCTGACATGTGTTATGGCCCGGCTAGGTCTAACCTCCATGACCATTTTACCTTTGATGCGTTAATTTAATCGTTCGGCAGGTTTCGACAAGCGGAACAAATTAAACCCTGAAAACATGGCAATATTACACAAAGAATGTGATTTAAACATGCATACATACCTTATAAACACATACACCCCGTCCCGTATCCCCCTTAGACCATATTGATGCATAATTACGAAAATATTGTAGACCGGTTTGGAAATGACGAAAATGTCGGTCAATTTCGGTACCCTGCGTGCAGAGTCTAGTTAAACTACACTCTGCCTAGTAGAGACCATATTACAGTTTAGTAGCCCCGCCCCCACGACGGGTACCGGTGACAGTTTGGGTAATAATATAAATCACTTCTGACCTATGCGCTGACCTTTCTTCCACCATTCAGCGAGCCTGAACAAACGCCAAATGCGTTCTAATTAAATATGCGCATGTCATTGGTCAATTCCGGGCTCAACGATGACGTCAGAAGGAATGACCATATATAGAACGTCGGTCAAATTTGGCCGACGAACACTGATTGGCGCGGTGAGTTCACAGGTTTATTTTAGTTTGAAAGAGTGAAGACGAAGCTCTCTTTTAAGAAGTGAAGTCAAACGAATGCAAAGGGTACAATTTCGGTAACATTGAAATTGCAAATCGTTTCAGGAATTAACCGTCATCACGGCACTGCATTAACGAACAGTGGGTTTGCAATTAATAACTATTTTGCGTGTATACACGCGCTATATAAATTAATCAAAGATACCTGTTATCCTCAAAATTGATCTTTTTATCCGAGTAATCGCGATAATAATTATCAATCTATTTGACAACAATTTCGTTTCGCTGGTAGTTTAATTTTACGATCCGGGACACTCAGACGAACAGACACAATGACGGACATGCGGAATGTCATTTTAGAGATTGGTAAGTGTAGCCTTCATTTTACTCGTATAAATGAACATTTAACACAAAAATATTGTGTTAAATCGCTTGATGTTATGTGTTTTTATATTATTGTCAAGTATCAGTTGCACGTTATCGCGGAAAAATGGTTTCGATGGATTCAGAACTTGCATCAAAGGAAAGAATAGTAAGGAGGTTAAACTCAATAATGGCCCCAAGAAAATTCCTAATAATAAAGAACGCCGTTATTGAGTTTAACAACGTTGAACTAGAGAAAGTCTGCCTGTACGATTACAATTTGGGAGAATTTTCCACGCCTCTTACACTTAAGATACCTATACTCAATAGATTTTACACTTAAGATACCTATACTCAATAGATTCCTGGGTATTTTAGCATTCTTTTCCTGTAGTTGAATCCACAATTATCTGGGTTTATCGGCAGAACGAAGAAATTTTGGTTTTTGATCGCAATATTTGCGTGTAAAATTTAACTTATTTCAACCGTCAAATTCCTCCATTTATTGGTACTTCCGGGCCAGTCAAACGAGAAATCCAACCGCCATCGTAAACAGTGATGGAATCTCTCTCGATGAAAAAGAAAAATGTTCCCGTTCTGCCGATAAACCCAGATGATTGTGGATTCAACTACAGAAAACAATGCTAAAATACCCAGGAATCTATTGAGTATAGGTATCTTAAGTGTAAAATCTATTGAGTATAGGTATCTTAAGTGTAAGAGGTGTGGAAAATTCTCCCATGTTGTAATCGTACAGGCAAAAGAATGAGGCGGTCTCAGGACTATAGTCCTGGCATGGGATAACCTGAGCTATTTCTCTTCAAGAATCCAGACAAGTAATATTTTTATATTCTGACAAACAATGTATTACACAGTCTGATATCTGTCAGAACACAATAAAGGTTAAAATCAAAAAATTCTGGACCCCTAGTTTTGCTAGGCCTTCGACCTCGCCTACCAGCTATCAAAATTCTGGTTACGCCGCTGCTCCTCTGAACTATTTGTTCGTAGATATGTACATTTTCTTAAATATATGATACTGATATACGTTTGTGATAAAAGTGTCGTGGGAATTCTGCCTACAACGTGTGAAATAAGGACAAATGAAAAATCATTCGATGTTCCGACATTTTCTTACCGAATGAAGACCAGCGTAATCAAGTGGATCACCACTGATCAAATTATCTTCCTTATTTTAATCACAATGTACATTTCTAAAACGTATATTCCAAATAATGTGACAAATATATAAAATTACATGAAAAAACAGCTTTTAGACTCTGGAGCAAGAGCACTGGTGTTCAAGGCATATTATAACCAAGTTCAACACCAGGGTTCTGAAAATCATTTTTTCCCCGTCACCAGTTTATGCATACCCTTTGCATTCATTTGACTTCACTTCTTAAAAGAGAGCTTCGTCTTCACTCTTTCAAACTAAAAATAAACCTGTGAACTCACCGCGCCAATCAGTGTTCGTCTGCCAAAATTGACCGACGTTTTATATATGGCCATTCCTTCTGACATCATCGTTGAGCCCGGAATTGACCAATGACATGCGCATATTTAATTAGAACGCATTGGGCGTATGTTTCTTCAAGCTCGCTGATTGTTGGAAGAAAGGTCAGTGCGTAGGTCAAAAGTTATTTATAACCCAAACTGTCACCGGTACCCGTCGTGGGGGCGGGGCTACTAAACTGTAATATGGTCTCTACTAGGCAGAGTGTAGTTTAACTAGTTTATGCAGGGCATTTCAAATGGGTCTCGTCAAGTATTTTTCTATGTAGCTATGATTTGGCTAATGAATTAAAAAAAAATCTGCACTCTGATTCATTCTCGGGGATTTTTCGATATTTTGGGAAGTTTACAATAAAAGAGAATTGCTTACAATTATTCAGAAGAAACACTAAACTGAGAAACGTGAAAAAATGTTAAAATTGATGCTAAGAACAGTCATTGAAATTCTGTCACAATGGCTCACAAGGATTTTGCATTGTAAACTCAGATTGAAATCAATGAATATCTGGGTAACTTTGATACATATTAAAGCCATTTTCCTTCTAAATTCCCATTTAATTGCAATATACATCATAGGAACAAAGAGCAGTTTCAGAATCCCACAGTTTTCAGTTGAAGTAGGTGCTGCGTAGTGGTGGGACTCGTGTGAATTATCCTACTCGAGTAGAGGCTCTTGAACACTCGATTTATTCGCGATTAAAATGAATGATTTTGGAAAAAAGTTCAGAAAAACTTTCTTCAGAAAGTTACAAACTTTCACTTCCGGTACAAGTGTTCTCGGCTCAACCTACCTTGAATAACTCCAACATACCCATCAAATTATTCAAATAGAATAACTCAATACACTTTATATGTTCTTGTTTTGCATTGAAAAGTAAATAATTTAGCAATTTACGCTAATTGGTTTGACCTCGTTAAATATTGCATTGCACATGCGCAACCGGATGTAATCAATAAATAAAAACAAACACGAGAAAGCCTATCGTATTTGATTTATTATTTCAGTTAAGGTATTAAACTACAATGCTATATATTAAGGAAGGCATCATTGTTAAACATTGTACAGAAATGTTGTACATTGGATGTGTTTTTTTTACGTAAATTGCGGTTGAAAGGTGGGTAAATCACATTTTCTTCATCATTTTTTTCATTTTTTTTTCAATTCGAGTCAGAATTTACCAATCGATGAATCGTATTTACAGGGTTTGGCGAGTAGTATTCGAGTCCACGAGTCAATCGTTGCTCCACTAGTGCTGCGTCACGAAAGAGGATGCTGGGGAGATCCTAGCAATCTGTCCCAGGTTACTCACTTCGAGAGCCATGTTAGATTTTGAAACTTATGGCTCTCAAACGGAGAAGTGAAAAGCTGATCAATAGTGACCTTTGAAATTGAATTAAGTCGATCCGCGGCTTACTTTTGGTCTCTAACTGTGTCTTACATCAGTATCATCAATCCGTGTAAGTATTGGAGCGCTGGAGTACTTCTTTTTCGATCAAGACTTGTAAATTGTTCATCGAGTTAAAGTTTTACAGACCTATTTCCAATATGGCGGTTTGCTAGGTGCGAGATACGCAATGAACGAAATGAATTTTGAGAATTAGTTAGGTTCGGACAACCTCCGGAGATTTACGAAAATGTCCGAGCAGAAACCGCCATATTGGAATTTGGCAGTAAAACGATTCACTCGACTAACAATTACAAGTCTTGATCGATGATGTAAGACACAGTTAGAGACCAAAAGTAAGCCGCGGATCGACTTAATTCGATTTCAAAGGTCACGATCATTGAGCTGTCCAAATGCTCCGTGGGAAAGCTATTATATCAAAATCCAAAAAGCTTTCGCAGGAAGTAAGTCCTAGGGATGCATTCCTGGACAAACCAACTGCAAATACTGATATTGTACAACATATTGTTTCAGATATCACCATGGCAACAGAAAGTGAAGTTCAGGCAGAAACCAATGGCAACTCTGTGGAACATTCAGAAGATTATGACAAACTCATAGAGTATGGTATCAATGAAAAAGTGGCTGAAAAATTGGAAGAAATCTACACAACAGGTAACTTGTAGTGTACTAAATGTCCATGGCATTACGACAACATTAACAATAAGATAGATTTGAGATGAAAATGTGTGGCATTTATATTTTAAAAGTCTTCAATAACTATTTTTTTGTAAACCAAGAAAATCTTACACTTTCCAAAATATTGTTATGTTCGCATCTGGGTTAAACATTTTCTTTGTAATGTTTTGACCACGATCCATTTTGAACCATGATCCAGATATTAAAGCGTCATTCATTCAAATCCAAATCACCAAGGCTCAAATACAACTAAATTGTTATCCCATTGAATGAATTCTAGTGGATATAAGGAACGTCTGCGTCCACCTGTACATCTGTCCATGCAATGAATCAAATACTAGATTCGGAATTTACTCAATATAACCTTTCCAATGATACCCAATACAACCTCCTATGATTGTTCGTTTCTACAATCATAGGGGGCATTGCCCCCCCCAACTGTTGGTGTAATTCTTTATAGCCTAACCATTTAAGGGATAAACCTATATTGATTAAAATGACGGAAAATTTCAGTAGTACGTCCATCTGAAGGCTTCAATTCAAGAAAAAATTAATATTGTATAAAAGTTTTGAAAATTACGTTGATTGAGAAGACCATCACAAACATACATTTAACCTTATTTATTTACTAATTACACCAAATGGGGTTCTTCATTTGCTCTAAATATGCTTATATTTTCCAGGTATCTTAAAACACAGTGATCTTGATGATCGAGCCCTTGAGGCACTCAAAGAATTCCCTCCTGAGCATGGCGTAGATGTCTTAAAACAGTTCTGCGAATGCAACCTGGAGCATGTCACTAACAAAAGTGCCTATCTATGTGGATACATGAAAACCTACAGAATGCGTATGAAGCAACCAGGGTCTGGAGATGCAAAACCTAAAGGCCCAGATGAGGCTAAAATTAAAGTATGATATATTAACTATTCAAAGTGAATTTTGTGTTAAACATCTTCACAAACAGTGTGACTGGTGCAGTTTAATGATTATTTTTATATTACAATAATAACCCATAACTTGCATCGTTGGATCCACAGCAAGTATTATCTTTTGGTTATCTCCCTGTATTAAAGCAAGTAGGCAAAACACCCACCTGTGATTTTAAAAACAGGATTGCACCCACCTGAAAATGAGAAAAATAGGTTAATTTTGACCAAATTTAGTCTATATTATGAAAATTAAGAATTTTGCACCCACTTGAGATGGAGAACATCCCTTTGTGTGCCTTATATGTATGTCCAGTCACAAAATTCATTCTCTCAATGTCTTCATTTCTATCTTCTCTTAGGAAATTCTGGACCGCACAGGGTACTCACTAGATGTCACCACTGGACAAAGAAAGTATGGGGGTCCCCCACCAGGTGCTGAAGATGAAGAACAACCTGGCAAAGGCCATAACCACGAGGTAGGATTATTTTCTAGGTGAATTTAAAATAAGAAAAAACATCTTGAAGTGGTCACATCACAGTGAGGACATTTTAATATATTTTTTGTCCGTCTAAGTGAAATATTGTAAGAAGTAAAAAACATTTCTGCTAGATTCTGTTGAAAAGAAATATTGGAATTTTACTCAAACCTGTCTTGTACTTGCAAGTGTTTTTATGGAAAGATGTTGGAACTTAATTTAAACCTGTATTGTATTTCCAGGTGTTTTGTGGAAAGATCCCCAGAGATATCTTTGAGGATGAACTAATTCCTCAGTTTGAAAAAGCTGGTAAAATATGGGACTTAAGACTTATGATGGACCCAATGACGGGCAATAACCGTGGCTATGCTTTTATAACTTATTGTGACCAGGAAAGTGCTAAAAAAGCTGTGGAAGAGCTCAATGACTTTGAGATTAAACCTGGTAAAAAACTGCAAGTGAACCTATCAATTGCCAATGTTCGCTTGTTTGTGGGAAACATTCCCAAATGTAAGAGCGAGGAAGAGATCAGAGAGGAATTCACACCTCACGCAAGTAAGTATAACTAAAGACATCAAAGTACAAAACAAACTCAAGAATAAGAAGTCCTCGAATGCTCACTTAAACAAAAGAAGTACCTGCTTTTAAAGATGGTGAAAGAATAATTGTACAAATATTGCCTAAAGTTCCTTAGGTGTACGAGTATAAATTATTTCTGATGCAAGGGACGTTTTAAGTGGAATGCTCTGGATCGTCAAAATACCTTAAAGTGTGTCCTGTTCACATGTGCTAAAAGAATACCTTACACGCTTAACTTTTATTCTCAAATTGCTTTTTACAAGGTGGTCTAGAAAAAGTCATCATATACAGTATACCTGACGATCCAAAGAAAAAGAACCGTGGCTTTGCGTTCTTGGAGTATGAGTCTCATAAAGCTGCCTCAGTCGCCAAGAGGAAGCTAAGTTCAGGACGAACAAAAGTGTGGAACTGTGACATCATTGTAGATTGGGCAGATCCCTTGGAAGACCCTGATGAAGCTACTATGTCAAAGGTATGCAGATATCTGATCACTGGTTTATGACCAAATATCATAACATCTTCAGATGATGTAGATATCTGTGGAGTTTTGCGAAATTTGAAATACTTTGTTCTGATTGGCTGGAATTTGATATAATCATGCCTTGCTATGTGTGAATTCAAGATTTTACATTTTATAAATATACTAGTTTTTTCAGTGACTGTATATTATCTTTGTTTGAACTTTTGCATCCATTGTTTTCTGCAAATGATGTGAGTTAATTATATCTTTCAAAATCCATTCATCAAAAAATGTTTTGATCAGTTAAAAAAGTTTGATACACCATTTGCCTCCAAATGTAATGTGGTTTTTAAAAGCTGGATAATAATAATCTTATACAGGGTGTCCCAAAAAAAAGGAAACCAGCAATAGATTGCTTATTTCTCAAATATGAATAATGATAGGAAAATTTCACAGCAACCATCTGATAGATTATGATGTCCTCTTTCTTATGATACCAAAGTTGTCTATTTTCCTTCACGGATGACTGAGTTATAAGGGATTTAAGTGACCATGTCAGAAATGAGTTTGTACCACTTTCAGCCAAGTCAATTTCACCATCATAACAAAGTGATAAGTAACAACAAACATCAGGATATCACTCTTTTACTCATTTATTCCAATTAAAATTACACATATCATATTTAACACCCCTTTTAAATCCCAATGTCCATTCAAAGTTGTTTTAACCCCAGTGTCCTTCAACATGACCCCCATTCCTTTCAATCCAAATGTCTGCCATTGATCTCATCGCACGTACTGCATCCCTGATGATGTCTCTCTGTCCCCTTAGATCCTCCACTGCTGCGACAATCCTGATGTTTTCATCAGACCGAGCTGTTCTTCTTCCAGAACGTCCCTTGTTGAGATTGAGAATTGTTCCTTCTCTCTGATACTTCTTGATATTCTTCCAGATTGTCGACTTAGCAGGTACATTTCTATCTGGGAAGCGTTCTCTAAACTGATCAGCAACCTGCTGAAGGCTCCCACTTCTGAGCCACTCACTTACTACGAATACTCTTTGATCTTGGGTCAGCTGCATGAACTTGCTATGTTGAATGCTTGTTCAGAAATGTGTATTTCGAATAGGACATGGTCTTGCATAGCCACTTTAATCCCTCATTGTTCAGCCATTCATGACAGAAAAAGTGGCACAAACCAATTTCTGACATGGTCACTTAAATCTCTTAGAACTCAGTCATCCGTGAAGAAAAATAAACACCTTTGGTATCATAAGAAAAAGGACATCATAACCTATCAGATGGTAGCTTTAATATTTTCCTATTATTATTCATATTTGAGAAATAAGTAATCTATTGCTGGTTTCCTTTTTTTTGGGACACACTGTACAAATGTCATTTAAGGTATGTATGATGTAAGAAAGATAATGTTCTTTCAATAGGAAATATAACGACAAGTTGATCAATACTGTAAAGAGGCCAACATTAAATCAAGGGATAGTTCCAATATTTGTGTTATATTCTTGTAGGTAAAGGTGCTCTATGTCAAAAATCTGAAGAATGACATTACAGATGAACAGCTTAAAGAAAAGTTTTCCACTTATGGCGAGATAGAGAGAGTGAAGAAAATTAAAGATTATGGCTTTGTACATTTTGTCGAGAGAGAACATGCAGTTAAAGCTTTAGAAGAGCTGAATAATACAGTAAGTAGAATTACTTAAAAATAAACTGGGTGACCCAAAACAGGGTCTACAGTTGTAAAACAATCTGTAAACTGTAGACCTACTTTCTGGCCACTGCATATTTTAGTAGCAGTTAAACTGAAAAACAAAGATAGCTTTTCATTTAAAAACTAGCAGCTTGTATATTTCACACATGTACATGGTACATGAAAAATGTGGCTTCTTGTACTAAAACAAAATTCTGACATTGTTTTAGAACTTTTTATGTTGTGTATATATTTAGTCTTCACAATTCCTTCAACTTAGTAAAATATTGCCAGGTTGATACATTTTGGCCATCAATCGCTATATTGGCATACCAAGTAGAAAATTGCTGTTTTTGTGATGAAAATCAAACTTTATAGTACAATACAGTATTATCCCAAAGATTTTTTCTCAGGTTTATTTTTGCAATTGATACCAAATCAGAATTTGCCTATTCATCATAGTATCTCATTTTGAAGTGAGTGAAAATGTATTTTCAGGTGGGTGCAAGCCTGCTATTTAAATCACAGGTGGATGAAGGGTCCTCTTGCTTGTAATATGAAAAAATCATTTGTTTTTCTCTGAATTTTTAGATGTTAGGTGAGTCAATGATGGAGGTTTCTCTTGCCAAACCACCCGGTGATAACAAAAAGAAAGAAATGAGGAAGAGAGAGCAGCAACAACGACAGATGATGTACATGATGGGGGGAAAAGGCGGGTAAGTGTTGGAAGTGTTGAACCATTGGAAAAAGTTTCATCTTTTTGGTATATCTCTAAATTTTGGGTTATGAGAGAAGCAAAAGTGATGGATGGTGAACATGATGGGTTGAAAAGGCGGGTAAGTCTAAGTGTGGCTAATATCCCAGAATTTATAGAGGAACCATTGGAAAAAGTTTCATCTTTATATAGAGGTCTCTAAAATCTCAGTTATCTCCCTCTTGGTAAGTTAATCCTGTCAGTGAGATATATTTCAATCCAAGAATCAAGTTTTCTTACTCTTAGTCAACCATCTGTCCTTCCAAGAATTGCAATTTGAATTGAACTTGTCAGATTTTGTTAAGTAACTGAGTTTTCCCATCTGATATTGCACTTTTACGTTTATAAGACTGATGTTATCTTTTTTTAGGTTCAATGACTACAATTTCCCACCAAGAGGAGGCAAATTCCCACCCAGAGGAAGAGGGCGTGGCAATTGTGAGTTCACATATTTCTCTTAAGCAAGTGGTTAAAAAAAAATAAAGAAAATAATGATTTTTTAGCACTTGTTTAATTAATTCGAAAGTATTCATATCTGTTGAATGACAACAATTTAATTACCATCTGCCAGGGCCATAGCCATGCAGTCAATTTGCATCAATTTATGAAATACTACAAACCTTGGCTATTGCAAGGTTGAACATTCTAAGTAGGAGCTGTCAATAATTGAAAAAAAGAGATTTAAATAAGCTGTTGTTAACCTCTGTTTTTGTTGCTTATCAATGCTTGATGAAGTTGCATGAATACAAGGAAATTTTCCAGAAATTCAGATTTGCTTTAGGAGAAATAATGCTCAGTATCTAAAGTTTCAGCTCAAATATTTTCCACATACATCTCATCTTATTGTTATTCTATTGTTATTATGGACTTGGGCTTATTTCTTTTACATATTGTTTGGATCTGCAAATCAATAGTTAAAACTCAAATTTACAGAGTATTTGTGAAATAACACTGAATTATCAGAATTGTTCGATTATTTTGAGGGATAACCAGTCGTTAATCTTGTAGCATTTTTATTGCTAGATTTTAACAATTATGGGCCGGGGCCAGCATTCCAAGGGTTCGGAGGTTACCCAGGAGGCTATGGACCAGAACCTTACTATGACGATAGCTTTGGAGGCTACGAAGATGACTTCTACGGAGGATATGGAATGCCAAGACGAGGACGTGGAGGTCCAGGTGGAATGATGGTAAGTTAGAAACTAATTATTTCTCATTTTTGTTAACGATAGAACTTCACTGTAGATCGACTTTTTTTCTACAATTCAGATTTTCTTGAAAAAATATAGGTGGACAGTTAAAAAAAAAATTAGGTTCTGTCAGGTTTCTAACCCACTCTCGGGAATCAACAATTTAAAGTGCTATCGATTGTGCCACACGGCATTTTGGCATTAGAGATCTCCACAGCAATAAAGCTCTGCACCCACTTCACATTTGTGAAATTTCATTAGATTGCCCATGAATATAACTTACATTTCAGTCCGGAAATCCTCCGAATTCCCCGCGTTTTCTGCTTATTCCACGACTTTTGTTGAAAGTTGAAAAAAATATTTTTGTTTTCGTATCGAAGCGCAAGATATAAAGCGACTTTTGATTGGCTGTTGTTTGTTGAAATTACATTGATTTTGATTGGCTAAGAATGACTCATCGGGAGGTTCTACTCCCAGCATGCATTTCGATCGAACAAAATCAGAATTTTAAATGGAGTTCACTGTAGAGGCGTGACATATTTTTAAAGAAATAAGAATCTAGAATGATAGATTTCGGTTCACATTTCCTCTCCCCCCTGAAATGTTATTTTCTTCAACCTTGAAATGCAATAAGTTATTCAAAATGACCAGTTTATGACATTCCTTGAAAATATGTGAAATCATCTAATAGAGTTTTATTCTGATATTCGGGAACCTTGATAAATAAAGAATGAAGAATTGATGCAGCTTGAGTGAACATTTTTTCCAACTGATTGAACACATAAACCCAATGTTTTATGTTTTTAGGTTGTTTTATTCATGTCATACACATTAAAAAGGAACCAATCCATTTTTCCTTAATAACTTTCCTTCACCATAAAAAGCTTTTAGCATTTCATAATTATCAATCAAAATTCATAGAAATTCATAAAATAAGCTTACTTACGGAGAATTTTGAAAATTTCATAAGACTTGAAATATCCTGTATCAGACTAAATAGTAGCCTACTCTCTGTTGAAACTTTCAGATGTTTATGAATATTAAATGAGTCATTCCATGTTTGTCTTGTTAAAAAGAAAATTGTTAAATCAGTGTTGAAATAATTGAAAGAGTACACTTTCTAAACTCTATGTTTATAGCGACCACCAAGAGGAGGTCCCATGAGAGGAAGGGGTGGACGTGGCAGAGGAGGCCGTGGCATGCCCCCAGGACCACGTGGTGGACCCAGAGGAGGTGCTAGAGGTGGTCCAGCAGGACCTTCTACCAGGGGTAAGAGAAAGGCTCCAGGGGATGGTAACCCAAATGCCACTAAGCGCCCCGCTCAAGACTGGGGGGTGGCCCCCATTGCCCAGCAACCTCTGGGAGGGGGAGATGAATGGTACTCTGATAATTTTTCGTCTGACTGGAGCTAAATAATCATCCATATTTCGATTTCCAACAGTTGAAGACAAAACTATAACAAACTTCTAGGTCCATGGACCTATTTTAGGCATTATACTCTCTAGATTTATATTACTTGCTACTGATTCGGATGTTTGAGAATTTTAAAGAAACCATTTTGGAACAATGACTATGGCATCTCTTCAAAATTATGCGAAGCAAAATGGAATTCAAAATTTCTTTGATGTATGGCATGGAACGTGAACTCTCAACAAATTCAAAATTGTGAAGCAATGAAGACGGATGGAAAATATTAAAAATTAAATCATGACAGTGGTTATTTGGGGACTTTCCGGATTGTACCCTTATTGTGAAGTAAGCCACTTCTACTTGGATATATACATGTAGCTGGAGCAGTGGACTGGCCTGTGTTAACCAAGGAAATCAAAATTATGCCATCAGAAAAAGGCAAAATGGATCATGTTGAAATGTGAATCAAGATGGCGACTACTGAAAAATTAAGCTGCACAACTTAATATTACAAAATTACTTAAAAGTGAAAAAAACATAATATGGAAAATGTATTCGGACAAAATTGATGCCTGAACTGTTCAAGGAATTTAGATCATGTTTAGTATTTCTGACCATTTTATGTTTTAGAAAAACATTTTAGTGTTTCATTTACAAACCTTAATGAGGTTGTAGAAAAAAGGTTGTTTCCATGAAAGTTTAGTTTTCTTTTTGAAAGATCATTAAATTTTCTTGGGAACATCGATGACTTTTATTTGTCATATTTCATGCACATTGTATATAATTCATATTGGAATGTCAAATTGACAGACTACAAAATAAAAACTCACTTATCAAAATTGTGACTTTGGTTGTATTATTTGCTGTCACTCAAAACAAGTTTGCTGTATTGTGAATCTGCCACTATTTAGAAGTAGAATGTTTATATGTTGAAAATTTTCGAATGTTTAAAATCTAGAAAACTTATATGTAATTATATGAAATTTATATAACAAAATTGTATATTAGAACATTGTCAAAACAGTTCGACAGCTGATAGAAATTACACCATTTGTATTTGAAATGAAATATTTCTCCCTTTTATGCTGCCATCCTTCTAGTTTAAGCAAAACAGCTTTAATTTATCAAAGTAGCCACTTTCCCAGAATTCCTCAGTTAATCCCACTGTTTGGATCACTGAGGGTTCTGGGAGTTTACTTCTTGCCAAGAAGGAAGTCACTGGAAGTTCAGGTACATGTATATATTAGGGTGGCTCAAAATAATTTTATTTTGGAAATGTTATGCTCCCTACGTGAATCCAGTTGCATTTTGGGGTTAATATCACCTGTGATTTTTTTCAAATTTTTTAGTCAACTTTTAGGGGTCCCCCACAGCCTTGAAGTTTGCCCATAGGCTTAACATTAGTGGGCGTCGCCCAAAATCGTACTTTGTCAAAGTTTTCTTTCAGAGTGATTTATATATGTTGTTTGAAGAAAAACAACATTGTATATGATATGATTAGATGTTTAAATCATCATATTACTCTGTTTCATCATGTGAACTTATATAAAAGGTTATACTTACAATATCCTATTAAAAAAATATTAGGTACATTCGACCAATATAATTATTTGAACAAGTACAGTTTTAGAGAATCATGTCTCATATATGATTTGGTATTGTCATTATTATGGTTTAAACTGTAAAAGGTATATTCATTCTTGACATTTAATGTTTTAAACATGGTTCAGATCAGATTTTCTTATATGTGACACTCTTCCTCTATGATCTTAGCGTACAACACATACATTGTCACGATGCGCCGCGTCACAGGTCATTTGAGATATTCCTGCAGATGATACCAGAACTTGAGACCGTGAAGAGGTGCTGTGGTTGTCAAGGGGGCACTTAGGAAATACCATCCATAGAGACAGACCACAAATCCCACAAGTTGTGTTATCCTCTGCAGTTGCTGTGGAGTAAGTTGGACAAATAAGTGGCTGAGCATGAATATCTTCAAGAGGTAGAGACTCTTCCCCATGAACCTGGCATGGTGGTAGGCTCCAGGTTGGTTGCAGCTCTTCGCAGTGTAAGACAGAGCAAGAGAGGAGAAGCAGGAGCTTGCTACAGCACTGCTCAACATCCCACGGCCTGTACGATTTGCAACTGGCAAACCAGGACAGCCTGAATTCAACTCAGTTGCTGCTCACTTAGGCAATGTTTGTAACTGAGAGATCTTGGCTGAGTTATAGTGACAATGTAGGTGTTGTACGCTCAGAGCAACTTATGTTCAAACCCAGAATTTCTGTCAAGACCTGCATTCTGTTAATGATCCAGCTGACAAGCAGTGAAGCTGGTACAGGAATGCTCTCAAATGACCTGTGACGCGGCGCATCGTGACAATGTATGTTTTGTACGCTTGGATCATAGAGGAAGAGTGTCACATATAAGAAAATCTGATCTGAACCATGTTTAAAACATTAAATGTCAAGAATGAATATACCTTTTACAGTTTTAACCATTATAATGAGAATACCAAATCATATATGAGACATGATTCTCTAAAACTGTACTTGTTCAAATAATTATACTGGTCGAATGTACCTGATATTTTGTAAATAGGATATTGTAAGTATAACCTTTTATATAAGTTCCCATGATGAAACAAAGTAATATGATGATTTAAACATCTAATTATATCATATACAATGGTGTTTTTCTTCAAACAACGTAAATAAATCACTCTAGAAGAAAACTTCTACAAAGTACGATTTTGGGCGACGCCCACTAATGTTAAGCCTATGGGCAAACTTCAAAGGCTGTGGGGGACCCCTAAAAGTTGACTAAAAAATTTGAAAAAAATCACAGGTGATATTTACCCCAAAATGCAACTCGATTCACGTAGGGAGCATAACATTTCCAAAAAAAAATTATTTTGAGCCACCCTAGTATATATTCAGGTAAGTATACTTATAGAAATTACATTTTTATTAAAATTAAATCTAATTTTAAAATCTAGATAATAGAAGTAAGCATTTTTTGTTAGAGATTTAAAAAGAAATTATTTATGATTAATTTAAAAGGCACTCTCCTTTCAAGACAGCTTTTTCATGCAGTTTTTTTGTTGATATTTTTTACATACAAGCTAGGATCTTGCCATCAGTCTGTTGAGTGTTAGTCAACTTCATGGATTGAATTGAGTGTCATGTCAACTTCATGGATTGAATTGAGTGTCATGTCAACTTCATGGATTGAATTGAGTGTCATGTCAACTTCATGGATTGAATTGAGTGTCATGTCAACTCTATAGATTGAATTGTGTGTCATGTCAACTTCATGGATTGAATTGAGTGTCATGTCAACTCTATAGATTGAATTGTGTGTCATGTCAACTTCATGGATTGAATTGAAAGTGATGTTTCTTTGTATAAAAACCTAGACCTGATTAATTTTTGGGTTTGATGGGTTTTTTTTTTGTAAGGAGGCCAGTTTAGATTGTTGGGCTGAAATTTTTTGTGTATGTGGTAACTAGTTTTAAATTTAATTGGTCCTTACATGGTCTCACTGAACAAATATTTCAGTGTCCACAGAATATACTTTTAATTGACACTGTATTACTTTGTCCAACGTTAACGTCTTGACTACCGGGAGTGACGAGATTTCTTGTCAACTAAGAAATGACTTTGAAATCCAGAGTGGCGAAAAATGTGTCACAAAAGTTTTCACTAAAATTGCTCTTATAACAATTTTCATCCAATTTACACAAAAATTGTTTTAAAATGTGTAGAGATGATCTCTGTTATCTAATTTTACTAAGTTGAACATCTAAAGTTATATAGGTATGTAGTAAAATGTCAAAAGGTGTCAAAAATAAAAATTCTCTGCTTTTCAACCAATTTTAGAGCCTGGGATTCAAGAGGTTAAAAAACTCAGCAGCCTGTGATCTTTAGACTCTATGCATTTTATTAGGTTGCTGTATTTTGATGAATTCTCTTGTATTCATGTATTCAAGTTAGACATAGTGTCCCTTTGATGATTAATGAATTGGTTGTTAGAATTAGAAACTACATTCATAACCGAGAATCTCACATTGGCAAGTTATTTCATTAAGAATACCTTGTATAATTTGTTTATACAGATTTAAGTCGAAAATAGCCTTTTCTCTAATAATATTATTGAATATCCAGTTGTTTTGATTGGAGGGTTTAGGTGAGGTCCTATGATGCCATAGATAGCTACATAAACTTTATGATATCCCATTGTGTCTCTTAAGTCCCTAAGGACAGTGTCCTTAGCTGACACCATCTTCCTTCTGTTTACTTAGTTGTCATTATGTCATTATTTTATGCAACCTCTCTCTCTTGTTATGCAATGGAACAAAATGCTGGTGGGACAATGCCACTGTCTATCCATTTGTCAGGATAATAGTGGACTATTAAGTCCACATAAAAAATTTGTCGGAGTACAACTTCTACTTGGAAGATAATGTTTTAACCAAAAGTTATGATGGTGATTTAGTCCACCCAAATCCAATATTATTTGCTAATGGAATTGCTATGCCTAGGGCATCATGGAACCTCACCCTCGGACTGATGGCAAGATCATACCTGGTATGTTAATAAATGTCCCACTAAGCCCAAAAATGAATCAGTTCTTGGTTTTCATACCAAGACACTTTACTTTCAATGAAATCCATTAAGCAGACACAACTTTATCTTATTTTGTACTTCTTCAAATGGCAAGTGCTAGCATCAGTATTGAGAAGTGTTCTTCAAAACTTCCAGTTGTTTGATACAAAACATATGGCACTAAAAGCCACATCTGCATATCACATTCACTCATTGCATTAGATGTATCTCATCACATTTATCTTCGACTTTCCAGGTGAACTGACCAATGGTAATGGGCCAAACGGCATATCTGATCTTGAATAAAGATGGCGGCCATGTCTTGCTGACAGCGCCACCTTTACCCTGCTGGGGACAGCTGGACTGTTTAATACGGTGCTAATCGGCAGTCTTATTCATACATACCAGACTTTTTATCATGCCTCGAGCCGCTCTTTTGGCGGCCCCGGCAACTGTTGCTTATTTTTTTGAGGAAGGCTATTTATCTTACGAGAACTTTTGTAAGCATTTTTTTACAGAGGAGAGTGATCTCAAGGAGAGGCGGTACCATGTTTGGGGTTGTCCTCGCTAGTGTTTATCTCTCTAGTGTTTTTTCACAACCTCCACACAGGCATGTCAATATACACTCCATGGTGTCAGTTAAAACTACATGGTGTCGGTTTAAACTCCATGGTGTCAACATGAACTCCATTGTGTCAGTATAAACTCCATGGTGTCACTCTCGTCTGGTTATTTGTTATTGACTTCATTTCGCAGTGACACGGTCTTGGCCTGCCAATTTTGTGCAACAGTGTTGTCCTAGTTATTAACTTAAGTGCAATAGTCGTGAGCAAGACAATGTGCAATTGTGTCATATGAGAAGATTAAAACAATGCCATGTATTAAAGTCTAATTATTTAATTGCAATACGAATTACTTGACGGCTTCACTGAAAATATGCATCAATTAGAACTATTCAGAAACAATATCCCGCACTTCTTCCATTAGAAACGCCAAAAGTTAATTTACCCCACATCACTTGTGTCTTTAGAGTAAATTAAGTCGGAGCTACATAATCATTCAATTACACATCCATAGCTATTTCAGGATCTCTCAACTTGAAAACAGTGCCATATGAATCTCATTATCCGCGACATAGGCAACATTAAAGCAAATTGGTTTTCATTACCGTGTCACTGTGAACTGAAGTTGTTGTTTTTTTGTTAAGATAGAGGCGCCTGTAAAACTGTGTCTTTAGTTAGAGGATAAATAAACACTGAAATCTAACCTTTGAAAAAACAAGTTTCGACCTAATTGCCGAACTGATACACGCATCAGTTTTGTAATAATTACCTATTAGATATCTGTTACTTTCGTAATGAAAGTCGAGATTGACGTAGGTTCTATTGCTAAAACATAACGAACTCTGACCGCGGGGCACAGATTTACGAGGCAAGAGAAAAGATGGAACGCGTGAGCTTGAGTACAGTGATAAATGCCTTGCGATAAAAATTATTAATAAAATAGATAGCTTCGAAATTATATTCAAAATTAATGCCCGTATATAGAATGCAATGAAAATGAAAAAATTCAAAAAAAAGTGGAATTGTATTATTCATTCAAAATATTATATAACTTGTATTCGTAAACTTGTGAAATTAAAGTCTCTCGGGAACATCCTGGCAAATTGCCAAAAAATGTATATATATTATTAGGAGGGATTTCGGGAGTTTTTGCTCGGTAGAAAGATTGAAACTAGCTCGCAATTGATATATTCATATTGTTCACAAAACGGATGTAATAATATGAGTTGATAATTTTTTAACTGTTCATGCATGCTAGGCTACATGTAAATTTGAATTATGCGAAATAGCCACTTAAGAGACCTTTCCTGGGAACAGGGCCAGGTTAGATATTTTACATAAATATTTGAGAAAACATGATGTAAAATAGGGTATTGGTTGAAAGAGAGCATTAGTTGCTGGAAAGGTCTTGAAAGTTGGTCGCTAACCGTTTTTGGGCCAAGTTTCGGAACAAAAACAAAATTGGGTGATTCCCGAGAGACAGTGTGGGATTGGAATTTGCTAAATGTGTTATTATTACCACTATATTAAAATGAATGCAACAAATAGCACGTGCTATGTATTATTAGACAATTGATGAATCTATTGAAAACATGTTTTTGTTCAAATACAAAAAGACAAGACATCGGTCTTTGCAAGATTGGATTGGAATCTACGTGCATGGTATAGAAATCGATAGAAGAGATGGTTGCTAAGTTAACCAGGTTGTAGACATTGATGCTATGGAAACCATGTGTTGTCATGGTAACTGTGTTGGACAGTGTCTCATTGTTACTGAAGCCAGTGTGTTGTTATAGCAACAAACTGCACTGTTACAGATCTGATGGCAAAAAAATCTTCAAAAGATGAAATGTTTGTTATGTTGATTATTATACCTATAATGAGATGAGATGACCCCTTTAGCAAAGGAAACTCCTTCTGATACTCCTCAAATCTTTCTGTCTTCAATATCATACTAGAGTGAAGCTAATCAAGGCCATGATCTGTCCTAATGAAGGGAACTTCACTCTACTATACCTTGAATTTTGGGTTCATGAGGAACCCATTTGGCTTAGTAATGATTGTTATTATTTGTTTTTGTCGGTTCCTTATGAATGGTTTATCGGATGACCGTTAGATGTTCATAAGTAACTTTCAAAAATATACTAAACGTTGAAGGGATCGAAAGGGATCGGTCAACATTTTAGCAAAAATGTTGACCGCTAATTGACCAATCAGATGCGAGTATTTACACTGAGGTACTAACAATATACAAAACAGTAGTTTCTCGGTTTACAGTCTCGGTATACAATTTTGCCGGTTGACCTCTGGAGAGGTCAACAATTGTATACTGTATTCCATTGCATTTGCCGAAATCTCGCTCCAAGAGCCCCTTCAATTCACCGTATTCATTCAATTCAGTCTTTGGTCATGTCGGTATATCAAAGAAGCTATAATATATCTACAATGGAACACCCCGACAACGCTGAAGTCCTACTGTTGTCACAAATCACGTTGTCAGGGTGTTCCGGTTGACGTCAGCTAGATTGATGATGGCATTGGTTGAACATTACACAACGAATCTAGCCAATATAATGTAGCTTCTTGAACCAAAAGGTATCGCAGGGAAATAATGTTAAAAATTCCGGCAATATCAATTCACTTGTTACCTGGTTACGTTCTTATCATGTCGCCACCAAAAGTGATGCCATATTGTGAGTCCAACTTTTTGGAAGGTGTTCGGCGCCTGTAACAAATGGCAGGTAGTGACATTTTGCATGTTAACGTTCTGTTACTTTTTGCATGGTGTTCAATCCGCACACGAAGTCAAGACAATAAAGTATCTTCGAATCTCAAGGTGGCTATAACACAAAAGAGAGCTTTCAATATAAGTTTTCAGCTAAAACGCTATACTGCAACTTTACCATTTGGAGGGAGGTTTCTCAAAAACCAGGATAGAACATTTCATTGAGAAACTTTGAATGAAACGTTAGCAAGATCATACATGGGTTTTAACATGAAAAGGAGCACAATTCCTAAAAACTAAATGCAATTTTTGTTAAGAAAATAGAAAAAATTCCCTGCTTGCTTTCTATCCTAATGCCTTGGTCTCATTTGCTTCGATTTTCACTTCGGTGCCCGGCCGATTAAGTATTTTGTTCAGAAATGTATTCAATTTTGAACAAAATACTCAATCGGCCGGGCGCTGGTGTGAATTATGGTCCCCTGTGGATTATGGTCCTCTTTCTTAAAGGCCCTTACTGGCCCTGATTGTGGATACGATAATAAGGGAAAGAGTTGTTTTAGGTCACCGGCATATAAATCAATGGAAAGCAGGACCATAATTTGATAGGACCTCCTACCCTTTTACACCTGCCAATGAATCGCAGCAAATGTGACCCAGCCATAATCGAGGGAGTTGATTTGTTAATATCCCATCAATGGCAGAATTAATTTCGAAGTGTTTAAACCGGAGTTTGCCATAAACATGTATATTGTCGTGATTTGAACTTACTCGAGTCTCTAGCCAATACTTGGCTAGAGGGGATTTCATCTGGAATACTGTGAACTCTATTTGAAAAAAGCTGGCCGGGGTGTCATAAATTTATTGATTATTTTAAAAATTGCCAGATAAATAAATCATTAATCAAACCGGACCCAGATCGGCTCCTTGATGAGATATTACATGATTTCATCAGGATTTCGTCTAAAATTAAAACAAAATGGCTCCAAGAAAAATGGCGATGTTCGAAAACTGGACGAAATGTCGTTAACGTCTGACATTAGTAACTGGCTGTAAATTCTAAGTTAGCGATCCAGAAGATGTGAACTAATACACCGATCACTTTATGTGTGTTTTGGATTTTTTGGTGAGGTAATAAGACCAAAACTCGCAATTCAAATTGTGATGTGGAAAAATGGCGGACATATGATTTCAAATTTTATGATTACGACATGACCAGTTGTTCATGCAGAAATATATCTGTACTGGAAGGCCACGATACAGTGGCCTTAGAAGAAGGTAAATTTGAACAGTTGAAGGGTGATGGAAGCACCCTATCTTCGTTTCCAGAGTTCCTCCCCCAGTCTGCCAATGCTATACCCGACTTGCACAAGTACAAGTTTGCGTATACGTATTCAAATAACTTGTATCAAAAGCTCCATATGTCTAATGGAGCAACTCAGAGAAATATTGTGAATCATAAGATGATACTGAATCACGCTGATCAAATTTGTCTCTCCTCTGTCTACCTGTTGCAAAAGCTATTTTCTCAGCTCGAAACTTTTACTCCTGAGAAGATCAATATTTTGATTGATTATACGAGATCAACACGTCTAATCTACTTCACTTTAATTTCACGACGATACAGACCGAAAACATTCACTTGCTTTGATCTAGGTTGCATGTTGAAGCGCGATTGGTTGATCCAGGTCACATGATTGCCTTAAGCATCATGGGTTTAAATTTTAAAAATGACTCCCAGCCTGTTCTTATGTCATTATATGACAGGAAGTTTTGTCTGAGATCAAAACGTTTACATCAGTACCCGTCATCGGAGTAAGGTGAAAATACTAAACTTATCTTTATCATCTCAATTTATACCGAGTGTTTTTACCTGAGATGCCAAACTCTCCGAATACACCTGCAGGTATACCTTACTATACTAGGCGTTTGACTACGTCCTGGTAAATTGTTATCGGATCATGACGAGTTATTTACTTTGACCTTCTGGCAAATGTCTCCAGCTACTGGTCGATTGGACATGCGTATAGGTTGGCGTTTCGATTTTATATGCAAGTTAAACTCCCTAATCTTCCATATAGACGACGATTTATAAGAATATCACACTTTTGGACGTAAAAAGCTGACGTAATCAAACGCTTCATAAGTTACGAATGCGTGAATAATAAACTACTATTTTCTATTCAATTTGCTTTCTTGATTAGACTAGAAAACATGGCAGCTCCACCAAGTGATGCGAAATCTTCTCTGTTGATATTTACACCTTGTTTCTTATACTATAAAAATGCACTTAGTGATTCGTATCTTGTACTCGTTTTGCAGTTAATGAAAGGCAAATTATGTGGTCAATGTTCCGAAGACTTTGCCATGACGATGCTTGCTAAATGCCGTAGTGACCTCCAATGTGTATGCGAGTCACAAGAAGAAGCAATGGCGAAGCTAAAGCTAGCGCAAGCTGGACCGAAATGAACCTGATGGTAATGAGAAAAGCCTATTGTATGTAACACAAAATGGACCACCGAGATTCTGCCGAGGACATCACACATGACTCCTCTTTTGATTAGATAGTTATGAATGTTTAATTTAAAATACATTGAGTTAAGAGAAATACAATGGCGTGTTCGTAGAAAGAAAAAATGTCTAAGCTTTTGTTCACTAACTATTAAACTAAACTAAAATTATATGCTGCATTGGTAAGTTGACTTTTTTACCATGAAAAGGACATCGAAGGTCAAATCTTAAATCTAAAGTTAGATTTGAACTTGTCTACCGATGATTTTGAAACATATGACTTCAGTCAAACAGTACATTTGTTATGTTACTGGAAGTTGTTAGAATTTGTTTGCAAACCGCTACCCGCCGTCTCAAAAACGGAGACCATAACAATGTGTCACCACTTTTGGTGGTGATATAATAAAAACTTGTCGAATTGTCCGCCCAACTGCTGCGCCATTCTGTTACCGAAACGATTCGTTCCAAGAATGTGCATATACTGTATACTGGGACTGACTAGCCGATAGATCTCTACTGCCATCTTTCAATCAACCTAGTCACTAATATTGAATTCCCATGGAGAAATAGCTTTTATATCTGTTTGATCATGGATGGCGTCAATCAAAGGAAGAATGGATGCCTGTTTAGAAGCTAAAGCTCCGTCTATAAAGGGTATCTACTTTAATTAATTATCGAATGAACAATCCATAAAGTGTGATACATACATACACTGCATGTCCGTCCTCTCTTCAGCCCTGCACTATATTTATTTACACTTGGAAATATCGACTAAAAAGTTATTGAATGATTTGAAGTACAATACGG